GCGAGTGCTACGCAGTGGTATCAGTCAACCCAGACCCATCGACGAAATCATAGGCGTGCTCCGGCGGCCACATATATATATATATATATATATACATATATACATACATATATACATATATATATACATATATATATATATATATATATATATATATATACATATATAAATACATATATATACATATATATATATATATATATATATATATATATATATATATATATATATATACATATATATACATATATATATATATATATATATATATATATATATATATATATATATATATATATATATATATATGTATATATATATATATATATATATATATATATATATATATATATATGTATATATATATATATATATATATATATATATATATATATATATATATACGTATATGTATGTATATATATATATATATATATATATATATATATATATATATATATATATGGTAGAAAAATCCACCTGGATTCACATCCTCAGACCTGAGGACAGGTGGATTCCGAAACTGTTGTCTCAGCTTTAATCAATCTATTTTTTATATTGTGGGTTTTTCTACCATAGTATCAACACGGTAGAGTGTTTTCATCATATATATATATATATATATATATATATATATATATATATATATATATATATATATACATACATACATACATACATACATATATATATATATATATACATATATATATATATATATATATATATATATATATATATATATATATATATATATATATATATTCATATATATCTATACATATACAAATATATTCATCCATATACGTATAAATCCATATACATATATATACGTATGCATTCACATATATGTGTATATATATATATCTTTCCTTTCCCTTGTATGCGAACGGCCGAGCGGTGTTATGAATGCGGCGCAGACGGGTCCTCGCCGCACGAACGGCCGCACGTGTGTTGTGTTTTGGAAATCGCAAGTGTCTGGCGGAGCAGGACCTGGTATTGTCACGCCTTGAGAAAAAAATCAGTTAAATCGTCCAAAGCTCGACAGAACAAGGAAACAACTCCGCCAGAATGCATTCCATGTTGAAGCGGATGAGGCAGGACTTCAACGTCTACGTCGGGGCGGAAACGGGCGTGCTGAAAGGTGGGGGGAATGAGGCCTTAGGCTGGGCTTTACCTCTGCTGGATTCGATCGTTTTTTTCAGGTCTCACTCCACCGAAGCAGGACCTCGAGAGATGACAGTCCTTCAGCTTGCGTGATACTGGGTTATCATGGGAGTTATTGGATTTAGCGCTTTTGCCAACTTAGGAGTCGAGTCTTTCAGATCATAGCACCAGAGCCGCGTCTACCACGTCAATACATTCATAGAAATATAAGTTTTCAGCTTCTCCTGATGCACAGAGGAGGGCTGTTGAACAATCGTGGGGTTGCTAACTTGAAGGCTCTAGAGAAGCTTCTTGGTTCGAACAGCATAATTCCATCTGTAGCTCTTCATATATTAGTTTCAGAACAATTTTGGTATTGATAGATTCCTCTCATTCATTACCATCCAAATATATTGAAATTTTGCTGCGGAAACCCCCCTTCTAGCGATAAAATTGGCCCCAATAGCAGGGGAGGGCATGAAAGGTACCAGGGAAATTGTAAGGTGAAATATGAATAATATAATAGAATCAGTCACTATATTGTCTAATGCAGTGGGTTTTCTTGCAAAGAAAAGACCAAGAATCCCCCAAACTACAGGCCAGTAGCACACCAAAATTGCAAATAATAAGGTGAATAGTTCAATCCCGAAAGATTTTTTTCTTTTCAAATCATTACTAGAGGAGGTTTTTGAATAAATTTTGAGTGATGGAATGAGTTGATATATTAATCTCATCGGTTAGTTGAATAGACCAAATTTAGATTTTCATGAAGAGGACAGAGAAATGCTTGTTATGTGGTGCTTGTTTAACAGGCACCTAGATAAGTAATTAACATTACAAAGGATGACTAGATTCATTTCTATTTAATACAGTATATGTTGAGCTTATTTTGTACATATTGTTGATAATTGCAAGGTAGATCCAGTCAGGATAGTAAGTTATTTGTACATCTAAGATTTCATCATCCTTACAGTTCTAGAGCAGATAATCTGATCGATAATCTTTACCATTTTACGGATTAAATTTGTTACTGACAGTTCTCACCAATTCTTGCCATAGCAAACCAAATCCTAAGATCCATGCCATGTGTGGTCAGTGTGTGCCCTGCCAGTAAACACTAGTTCACTTGTCTGTGCTTCTAATTTTTTACTTGATTACCCTGGTGTGTGGCCATATTAGGCAAGGGAAAAAAACATCATTATTGAGTTAATTAGGACTCTCGACCTTTCCAAGAACTGAACATGGCTTTCTTGGTGAGTTTATTCTTTTGCAAATTACCCAGAAGAGAAACTGGCATTGCCATGTAGAAGACCTTTCTTTGAGGAGGCTAGAGCTTTAAAGTCAATATTTATTT